GATTGAAAGTAAATAGAGGCAATCGATAGTGATTGAATTATACAAACAAATGCAAATGGCGTCTATTTTATTTTATTCTTATTGATTTAATAATTTGTTTAAAGATATATGATGGAAAAAGATTCTCGTTATCAATGGTTAGAATCTCGTTTAATAGCAACACTTGAACCAAAACGAGATGCTCTTATTCAATTAATTCAAAACGATGATAATCGGTTTGTTTGTTTGTTTTTATTAAAATAAAAATAAAAATAATTTAATAAATTAGTTTAAGTATTGAACAATTTTTGGAAAATGAAGATATAACACATTTATATGTATTATCTCAATCATCATCATCATCATCTAATTTATTAGCTCTTAATTCAATTCCAATTGATTTTAATTCATATCAACGAGTTGTTCTTTTTATTAAAACTAATTTAACCAATAAATTAACAAGAGAAAATCTCGGTTTGTCTTTTATTTAAATTAGAAAAATAAATAAAAGCAAAGTTATTGTTTGTTGAAATAGATAAAGATGTATCATTGATTGAATTATATCCTGGTGAAACAGTTCATTATATTGATATAATAAGTCGTGATGTTTATCTTCCATTATTATGTTGTAATATTCTTGTATCTGATGTTGAAAAAGATCGTTATTTGGATTTATTTCATCGTTTACTTAATCAAACAGCAGCAACACATACAATTCAAGCTGAATCAGTTGTACTTCCATTACCAGCATTTAATATTCTTGCTCATATATCACAACAAGAACCTGAAAGACAACAATCAATATTATCTATTCTGGAAAATACTCTTACAAATTGGAGTAAACAAATAAAAGTTTGTTTTTTTGTTTTATAGAAAAAAAATAAAAATAATAAATTGATTTAAAAAAATTTAAGCAATTACTTCAAGAAGAATTAAAACCATCATTTTATGGTCGAGAACAAAATTCAATAAAAGATCAAGTTCAATTATGGACATCAAGAATAAATAAATTAAATAATCTTATTGTACAACTTGATTCACCATTTGTTCAAGATGTTCTTAAAAATTTAGCAAGAAATCGTTCACCATATCTTTCTTCTTTTATGGATATTAAACTTGAAATAACTCGAGTATGTTTTATTATTTCATCATTAATATATATATATATTATTCTATTATAAATGAAAAGGCTGTAACACATGCTGAAAGAAATTTATCATTTGTAAGTACATTATCACCATGGATATTTCAAATAAATAATTCAAATAATCTTAATGAAATTCTTTCATATCTTCCATCATTAATGCATACACTTTTTCTTATATGGCAACATTCACAGTAATAATTTATTATTTAAATAATATTAAATAAACGTTGTTTTTTTTTTTTTCATTCAATATTAGTTATTATCATCAAAAAGATAAATTTAGTCAATTATTAGAAGTTGTTTCTTCCGAAATAGTTCTACGAGCTAAACAAATAATAGCTAATAATATATCATCTAAATCAACTAATGTATGTTTAGTTATTTATTTATTTTTGATTTATTTATTGATTGATTGATTGATTAGACATCATCAATGAGTTTAAAAGATGCTCTATCAATATGTGCCATGTTTCGTGGAACTTATTTAGATTATAAAGAAAAAGCTGATGGACTTAATTCAAAATATATGATTCCAGAAAAAAAGTTATTTTATTTAATGAAAAATAAATTTCTTGAATAAATATATTTGTTTTATTAAATAGAATTGATCCATCTCGAATGCTTATTTGGCATGTTAATCCATATGGAGAAAATGATCCAAATAAAGATATATCATCAACAAATGATCCATATTCGGTTTTAAGAAAATCAAGTCCATGGCCACCAAGAAATTCCAAATGTTTTCAATCATTAAATGCTCTTATTGAAAGGTTTTTGTTTTTTTTTTGTTTCGAAACAATTATTCACATTTTCAATAGTCAGGAAAAACAAACAAATTAGTTTTGTTTTCGAACAATTTTGAAAAACAAATTCTATAGAATTTAATAATAGATTTAAAAGAAAATTTTTCCTTAGAACTATTTAATGAAAATAATATTTATTATTTATTATAAAAGGATAAATTAATATTCGATTAAATTCAAATTAATTTTCATAATTATTTATTAGAATTAAGATTGTTTGTTTTCGATAACTACTATTTTAAATAAAGAAAAATATTCTCGAATTACAATTTAAATCTAATAAATCTTTCTAATAAAATAATATTAATGAAATAATCTTAACAAAAAACGGTTGAAAATAATATTATTTTATTTAACTATTATAGAAATAATTCTTAAAATAATATTTATTTATCTATCATTGATATTTATATTCAAAATAAATATTATTTTCAATTGAGTTTTATTTAAAAAAAAAACAAAATAATGTTCGATATTTAAAGTATTTTATATGATAATTAATATTGTTTAATTAGTATGAGGAGATTTAGAAAAAAACAAAAAAAATTTTCGTTTTTTTTGTTATTAAAAACGAAAAAAAGAAAAGAAAAGTAATTTAATTATATTTATCTAATAAATAAATGATAAAATGATATATCAGCTTGAGCGCGTAACGCGTAACTTCAAGACCGGAAGTTTGAATTGATCATATAGGAAATTCATTGTCACCACCTTGTAGAGCATGGTCTAATGTCTAAGGAAATATATTTTCTTCCTTTAATAACTATGACAAAGTGTATTTTTAACAGAGATATAACTCACAGTTATAGAAAATTCTTCTATTTAGACCGGTAATGAACCTAACCCACATATCGAAACAGTTTGAAATCAACAAAGTTGATTAAGGCTGATAAAGACTATGATAGGAGATGTGTCTTTTGACATAACAAATGATTTTGCATGTGTTATACTTTTTTGTAACGAGCTTATCTAAAACTATTCACTTTATAACGTTATCGCGTAACCAAAAATGAGTATTGTTTTTTTTTCATTTGTCGATCTTTATTTTTTTTTTTTTGGGAAAGAATATATATATAAAGCTAGTTTTTTATGAGCTATCTAATACACCTAGTTTTCCCAGAGAAAGATTCCGTTTTATAATAAATCTATGAAAAAAATATTTCTATATAGTAGTTTCTTAGGCAAAAACCACTATAAACTATATTTAATGTATTCTTTATTAATTACTAACAGATTGCCATAAGAGTATAACTGATTGATTTAATAAGTTGATTGCGTTCAGTTAGAATGAACTTATCAATATAAATTATCTATCATTTCTATGATGTATGCGTAAGGTGGGGAGCACTCTAAATTTCAGTTAACACTTTTTATCCATGATTTATATATGATTGGATAGAGCTCAAAAAACTGTGTAAGTAAATGTACTTTTAAAGTAATTTTCCTATTTAATAAGGTTTAAAAACGTTAAAAGACCGAGATGATACTGTGTCACTAGGACCATTTCGTATAAAATGATCTTAGTATTTTGAGGTTTTTAATATTTATAAAATAGGAAAATGAATTGAAAAATAAATTTTCTTAGATAGTTTTTTGAGCTCTATCGAACGATATATAAATTATGAATAAAAAGTGTTAATTGAAATTTTGAGTTTTTTCCACTATATAAATATATGTGTATCTCTATTAGTCAAACTGATTTATTGTTTTTATGATTTCTTTTTGTACTAGAGGAATCAATAAACACAACGTCTCACATGTGTGCACATTCTAAGTGTAAAATAAAAATAGTATCTTGTCTTTATAGAGTTGTACACATAATAAAATGAACCATGAAAAAAAAATGGTTTCAAAAGTCATCATCATCGCGTTACGTTAATCAAACTGATCCCTATTCAAAATAAGAAGTCTGTTCGAAGAAGCTTTTGCTCTGTTGGATACCTCCAACTGTTGGCTACAAAATACGCATAGAACGTTTCTTTGAATACCGTATACATTCGCAGAGAAATAAAAAACAACTATGTCACCCTCAACTTTTTGTCCCTTTCTCGTCATCGCGTTACGCCATGTATTTCTCAGAAATTTTGCAGAAGGTCGAGATGCATCTTACAACGAAAGAAGAAATTCTCTGAGCAATCTGAGTGTTGAGAATAGTTAATAAAACTGTGGCCAAAATGTCATCGCGTTACGCTTGCTCAAGCCAATATGTATATCAATATTAAAATAGTTAATTATTATAAATAAATCAATATTTATTTCATGTTAATTTCAAAGTTTTTTTTTCTTAAAATAAAAGAAAAAAAGAAATTTTTATTTAAATGATTTCTATGAATATAAACAACCTGTTTAGATGTAATGATGTTCAAGAATTAACATCAATAATAAGTCAATTTAATGATTTATCTGCAACAGCTCGTGTTGGTGGTACATTAACAAGTACAATGGATGCAATGCTTGCTGATATTCAATTAAAATCATCAAAATCTCTTGAAATATTTCATAATCAATGTCCAAATCTTTCTCATTTAATGGATAATGATCAATTTGATTTGGCTTTTTTTCGTTTAAGAACAGAATTAAAACATTGGGAACATGAATTAGCATGGATATTACGACAATGTTTTTCACGTGCAACAACACTTTCAAGTAAATTAACATTATTAAATGTTTTTAATGGAGCATATCAAAGAGATGTTATTCAACGTGCACTTATTAATGAACAACAATGGATTATTGATAATCTTAAACAAGAATTTCAATTAGTTGCTCAATTAGTTAATTCATCAAATATTAATTATTTACATTTACCACCTTTATCAAGACAATTAATTTATTTATATGGTCTTAAACAAAGAATTGATTTATTTATGAATCAATTTATTGAACTTTGTCCAAAAATAGTTCAAAGTGATATTGGATGGGAAATTCGAGAAGCTTATAGAATTGCTAAAGATAAAATTCAACGGTTATTTATTTTTTTTATTTATTTAAAATAATTTTATTTATTTATTTAGAAGTGAAGATGAGATTTATAATCAATTCGAACAATCAGCAACAAGTCAAATATCTGATCTTTTACTTCAACCTGTTTTTGTAAGTTAGTTTTATTTTTACATAGGACAGTCAAAAACTAATGACAATGGTACTTTACTTTCTTATAATAAGCTTTAAAAATCTTTCTTTCTATATAGTCTTCGAGAGAAAATAATGCTCTATTTTTCTATGATACTTAAACTAATCTAATAATAATCAATTTTCGGTAAGACTTTGTTTCGTTACCATATCTACTGGATGGAAGTTTGCATTGCAGTTTTCAGTCCCTTAATACATCGTATCAACAATCAAAATATACCATAAGATGCAGCGTGAAAAGCTCTACAATCTTCATGGTAAAGCTTATTGTAACTGTCTTCATAAAAAGGAAAATTGTGTGATATCAGTTTTCTCAATGCCCAAAGTTCGGCCCCTCAAACCTTAGTGTATTTTTAAAACAAAACAGTGTAACTAGAAAATAATTGGTCTTATAGAAAATGTAGAGTTTTTCACGCTAGATCTTATGGTATATTTTGATTATTGATACAATCTATTAAGAGACTGAAACTAATCTGTCTCTTTCGTTGTCATCCAGCAGACATGATAACGATAAAAGTTTTACTGAAAATTGGTTATCATTAGATTAGTTTAAGTATAATAAAATAGCATAGAAAAATAGAGCATTATTTTCTCTATGAGACGACTATATAGAAAGAAAGGTTTTTAAAGGTTATTATAAGAAAGTAAAGTAGCACTGCCATTACTTATTGACTGCCCTATGTATTTTACAAATTGTTTTACAAACTGAAAGAAAAACAAAAAGGAAGGAGGAATATTATTTATACGATGATTTATTTATCATATAGAATATTTATTTTCAAGATAAATATTCTCTTCGATCATTTCGTTATTTTTTTTTTGTTTTTTGATTTTAAATAATTGACTAAAATATTTATAAAATAGTCTCAAAATCTCTTCAATTAAATAATATATTTATCTTGATTCATATCTAAAAAAGATTTTTTTCAAATTATCTTTTACTCTTTAAATTCGTTGATTTTTATTTGGAATTATAATCGAGAATATTTTTCTGTTTTTATTGTTAAATCAATTCATTTGACAATGGTGTGTCGTTCATTAACAATATTTAATGGAATTAAACAATTTTAAATAGAATAGTTACCAAAACAAAACGAGAAATTTTTGTTTTTTTTTCATATAAAATCATTTAAATTCGATAGATTAGTAGAAAAACTTTTTTGATTTGTTTTACATAAAAAGAAAAAAAACGTCATTTCAATTAAAAAAGCAATAAATTTCTATTTATATTAATAAATGAAAAAGAAAATTGTTTTTTCGTTGATAATCAATATTCAATCACCGATGAGTTTAAAACATTTCTCAATAAGTTATATTAATAAGATATTGAAAATAATCGACATTAAATAATTATTGTATTGAACAGTCAGAACTTATTTTTTGTTTTGTTTTTGGTACAAATAAAGATCAACTATTGACGATGATAAGATCAGATACTGTAATAAGATAACTATTATATTGATCATATAAGATGTTTATTGGGCATCTTCCTGCTATGATCGAAATTGAAAATTTGGAAAATAAAACCTGATAGGAATGTCTCAAAGTGAAGATGTTGAAAATGAGCATATATGAGAATACACATAATTATCATCATTCGAATTTTTATTTTCAATATTTAAAGTTTCTACAAAAGTCTAGATAACCATTTAAAATAATAATCGAACTATAATTAAACATAATAAAATAAAAGATAATTAAATATAGAAAAAAAAATAATATTTTACAAAAATTTCTATTTGTTTATTTTCATTTGTTAAAAATAAATATTTTATTAAATTGATCGAAATTCTTCATATAATAATTATATTCAAATAATATTTATGATTTTTGTTTAAGTTTGAAAAAACAAATTTTATAAAACTATTCGAATAAATTAATCTTAATAAATTCTATTTATAATAGAAAATTTATCGTGTATCTGATGAAACAAATCAAATTGAAAAATTAATTGTTAATATTAATAATTCTCTTGAATGTTTATTACGAGAAATTCGTTATATAACTGGTGAACCTCTTAAATCAAAAATTCCATCGAAATTTCGTGAATTAATTCCATTATTAAATAATGAAAGAACTCTTCGGTAAGTATTTATTTATTGTTTAAATTATTTATTTTATTATTATTATTATATTTAAAAATAGTTTAAATGTTGAACGTCTTCGATCAATATCAATGAAATATAATTATTTAATTGAACATATGAATAGTGAAGAAAGATTTCTTTTTGAACCAAAATTAAACAAAATTGATCAAGTATTTAAGAAGAATTATTTTATTTAATACATAAACTATTTATTAATATAGGTTATTAATCTTGGTTTAAATGAAATAACATGGAAAAGTCTTAATTTATCTGATTATATTGAACAATCCTATGGTTTAATTAATCTTGATGCAGCTAAAGCACTTGATATTGTTCAAAATAATCTATTATCTATTAAACAAATTGCTTTTAATTGGTCAATTATTCAAGCTGATATATTTAATTACAATCAATTATTTACATTTAAACAAGCACTTGAAAAACATAAGTAATATTCGTTTTTTTTTCAATTTAACAAATAAAACAAAAAACCTTTTTGTTTGTTTGTTTACTTAGAAATGTTCAATCGATGTTTAATGAAAAATTAATAATTGATGGTCATAGAATTCATGCTTTGGTTGATAATATAGCTAAAGTTTGTTTAAAACGAAAAAACAAAACTTTTTTTTCTTATTTAAAACAAAATATTGTTTTGTTTATATTAGGTTGTTGCTGTTAGTTCAGCATCACCATCATGGTTAAATTATTTAGATTATTTAAATTCATTAATATTAAATGGAATTAAAGCAACAAGTTTAATTACATTGAAAAATATGTTACTTTCAATGACTAATCAAGATGAACAACTTCTAAGTATAGTTGTACAATTAAATGATTGTCAATTATCATTTGAACCTCCACTTGTTCCATTAACAAGTGAATTAAGTCTTGGAGAAATTTTAGTTGAATGGATTAATTCATTTATTAATCGTGGAGATTTAATTTATGTACTTGGATATGATAAAACAACAAAATATTCTCAATTAATTAATGAAGATCCATTAATTATTGAATTACGTGAAAAAATTCAAGGTTTAATTGAAGAAACATGTTTAGAATCATTAAAATTATTTGAAGCTTTTTCTCAATATTCTTTTTTATATAAATTACCTGTTAATCAATCATTTCAATTATTTTTAAATGGTGATAAAAGAATTAAATCAACAACACCAAAAAATTTTTTAAATGAACAAGATGCTGGAAGACGGTTAGTTTAACAATTCGATTTTTTTTTCTTTCTAATTTATTTTAGTTTTTTCGCTTTTAATAAACATATTAATAATATTTTTAGTCTATCTATGCTTTACAGGTTTGATTATATGTCGTCATATCACATATAACATATATATATATATCACAAATGATTATTATTTATCAATTAATATTAAAATGTCTTTTGTTTTTGTTTTTGTTTATTTGAAGAAGTGTTTATTCAATGGGTTCAATGCCAACAGCTGAATTAATTGATCATGTTGAAAGATCTTTTCTTTGTGCAACTAATGATAAACAAGATCTTCAAAAAATTCCACTTTTACAAGAATTTGAAAATGAAATGAAAATTTATCAAGTAATTTTATATTAATTTTTTTTTTTGTTAATTTAATTTAATTCAATTTAAAAAAACTGAAAGGCTTGTTTATCTGATTTATCATCTTTACCTGATTGTTGGAATGTTCAATGGATTCGAATTGATTTAAGACCAATTAAACAAACATTAACAAGTCTTTCTCATAAATGGTTATGGAAATTCTGTGCTTATCTTCATAATCAGGTTTGACATTTATTTCTAAAGAAAACTAAAAAAATCAATATTTTTTATGATTAAATTAGACAAGTGAATCATTAAATAATGTTGATGGTTTTCTCGGTGCAATGGAACCTGAAATAGAATCGATAAGTGGTCTTGAACGTGATACAGAAACATTTATGAAAATAATGCGTTTATTTAATTCCGTATCAGGTAAACAACAAGAAGTTGAAATACGTTTTGAATTAATGCGTCGAACATTATCATTATTAAAAATGTATTCATCATCAAATGAAGATGAAATAACTTTACATGATAAATATCAAACAATAATTAATCGTTGGCAAAATTTAAAAACAAAAGTTATGCAAGCTAAACAACGTTTAGGACCAACATTAAAAGAAGAATCAAAATTAATTATTGAAGATTTAAAATCATTTCAATTTAAAATTGATCAATTAATTATTGATCTTAATCAATCAAATTTATTTCAACATCAATTAACATTTATTCAAGCTCAATTTATTTTAAATGAATTTTTAACAAGACAAAAACAACTTGATAAACAAGCTTTAGATTATAAACAATTACAAACTTTATTAGATACAACTATTATTGACTTTTCAAAATTAGATCTTTTTAGAGAAACGTTAAGACATTTAATTCTTACTTGGAAAACTGTCAAGTTAGATTTTTTTTTATTAATTAATTCATTAATTAATTAATTAATTTTAATTTTAGAGATATTCGTCATCATTTAGAAGAAATAAAACAAGAACAATGGCAAAAATTAGATAGTAAACAAGTATCTATATCATGTGATAAACATCTTGAAAATTTACAATCACTTCCAAAATTAGTTCGAACTTGGGATATATACACATTTACTGAAGATCATATTAAAAGAATTAAAGTTTGTTTAAACTGGTTTTTTCTTAATTATTAACAAAAAACGAAAAATATGTTTAGATATGTGCTCAATTACTTGATGATTTATCAAATAGTGCATTACGTACTCGTCATTGGAAACAATTAATTCGTTTAACTGGTGGAAATACTCTTATGGATAGTGATACATTTAGACAATTAACTTTTGGAAAATTATTTACACTTTCTTTTCAAGGTTTTATAGAAAATAAAACTTTTCTTTTGTTTAAATTCTTTTATAATAGATCATGCTGATGAAATTCGAGCAACAGTTAAAAGAGCTGAAAAAGATTTTCAACTTGAATCAACATTAAAAACTTATGAAGAAATTTGGTTAAGTAAAACATTTCAACTTGTACCTTATCAAATAAAACAAGTAAGATTTTATTTTAAATATAATCAAAATAGTTCAATTATTTATTTCTATTATCTATATATCTCTGTTAATAATAGATAGAATCGTATAACTCTTCATTATTTTATATATTCATAGATGATATTAAAATAATTTCTATTTAATCAACAATTTATTAATAATCTTATTATTTAATTATATTGAATAATATATTTTCAATATAAACATTTGATAATAATAATAATGTCAAACGATGAATATTTTATTTTCATAGATAAATAATAAATAAATCTTTTCAATATGTTAGAATTATTATATTAATTAGATATAATTATGAAGATTTTTTTTCAAAAATGAAAATAAGTATTTTATTTCGTTATATTAATTAGAAAAGATCTTTTTAAAATTTCTTTTTTCTAAATAATGAGAATGATAAATGTATGGTTAGTTTGTCTAGTATATTGATATTGATTGAGTTCTATTTTATTTTATTTTATTTTTAAAATTGTAAGTGTCAATTTATTTTTTTAATATTCATGTATATATTGTTTCGATTAATAAAATCGATTGATATATATTCTATAAATAATTGTCGAGTATAGGATAGATCTTTGTTAGATCAATATATTATCTTCTCAAATATGTTTGATGATTATTTCATTTCAATCGAATAAAACATAAATGTTTTTAAATTTGATCAATAAATAAGATGTGTTAGGGTCAAAATACTGGGAATTTCAAAATCCTCTGGTTGATATAGCTAAGATACTTTTGAGTATTTTGACCTTAGTACAATTATTTATTGATCAAATTTAAAAAGATTTTTAGCAAAATGGTCAGCAAAGAGAGTGCTACAAAGCTTGATAGACAAAAAAGATTCTGAGAAATTTATGTTTTTGTGATTGACTACCCTCACCCACGTGATTGTTCAACCACTTGAAATTTGCTAGAATTTTATAGGTCGTTCTTGTCGGAATAATGACGATTTATACTATTAAATCCCGTTTTTGACGGGCTTTCATTTGGTATAAAATTAAATGTTGATATCATTTGTCGTTGAAGTTGTACCTCCATGGAAAAGGATTTTTTGCTATCCTTTACTACTAGCACATAACCAGACAAAAAGTGTTTTATAGATAATTTAATATTTTAATATTAGTTGAAGTACGATCAAATAGCATAGAAAGATAGACCGTTTTTCTACTCTATCAGTTTATATAGAAAGAAAGCTATTTAATATATGAAGAAAAAGTTTGAATTGATTTATTTATTTGTTAATTATTAATAAAATAGAGTAATGAACAAAGAAAAAGTGCTTCAACGAATATATCATCAACAAACAAAAAAACTCGAGTCAGTATCGGATCATTATCTCAATCATTATTAAATATCGATGTATCAGTAAGAATAAATAATAAATCAATATTAAAATCCTAATTCCTATATAAATAGACAACGGATAAAATATATTTATTATCAAATTTGGATAAAATGTTTGTTGAAATGGAAGATCATCAAATAAATTTAGAAATTCTTCAAACAAATCAATCAGCTGGATCATTTCTTGATGAAATAGCTAAATGGCAATCAACATTACAACATATTGAAGCAGTTTTAAAACAATGGAATTGTGTTCAATTACTTTGGATTAAAATAGATTATTTAATAACACGTATTCAATTTGATTCTCAAATTAATTTTATTTATTCAAAAGCTGATAAAGATTTTCGAACTTTAATGATATCAGTTCAAAATAATAATAATGTTTTAAAATGTTGTCAAAAAAAAAGTAATTTTTCGATTTTTATTTTATATTAAAAAAAACCAAAACTTTGAATTTATTTTAAAAGATATTCTTCCTATGTTAAAATATTTAAATAATCAATTAACTAAATGTCAAGAATCTTTACGTAAACAATTATTTAATGAAACTAAACAAGGCCGATTAGTTTTTCTTACTGATATACAATTATTTGATTTATTAACATCAGGTTATATTCATTTAAATATTAATTTGATTTTATTTAATTAATTGTACTTCATTTTGTGTTTTTGTTTTTCTTAAAGGTTATAATATTCAATCATTAAGCAATTATCTTTCTTATGTTATTCCTGGATTAAAAAATCTATTATTTTCGGATGAAAATAAAGATGAAGCTATTGGATTAATAACTGAATATCATCATCAAACGATTCTTTTTACTAAAGTTTGTTTTTCATTTATTTTTTTCTTTTTGATTTAATTTAAAATATTTTTCTTTTGTTTTTTTTTGTTTTTGTTTAGAATGTTTTATTTGAAGGAAATATTGAAACATTTATTGATAAATTACTTATTAATTTAAAAGAAACAATTAAATATTCAATTGATAACGCTATTCAAGGTATTTATTTAATAAAACAACAATAGAAAAATATTATTTTATTTTATTTTTAAATTATTTATTAAATTTGTTTAGAAATAACAGAAAATAATCAATTAAATATCGTCGATTGGTTAATTAAATATCCTCGACAAACAATTATTATTGTTATTAAAATAATATTTACAAGACTTATTGAACAATATTCAAAAGAAACTCATTCACAACAGGTTTTACTTTATTTATTATTTCAACATTGTTTTTTTTTCTCAAAAAAAAAAAATTTTTATCATTTTCTATATTTAAAAAAAAAACAAATATCTTATAATGAATTAATTCGGTTAGAAATCTATGATAATAATCTTGCTCGATTGTTTAGCATAGACAATTTCTACAGTCAAATACAATAGGATAAACTCGATATTTCAACAGACGATTATTATCTACCCTAAATACATTACTTTTTTATTTATTCATTAAATTAAATAGCCTTCGAAAAATAATCGATCTTTTAGTTTTACTTAAAAAGAATAAATTTATTTACCTGTGCCAATATTAACAGATAAATCAATAATAGATATGCATTTTTCTCGTTCAATTCACAATAGAATACTTACGAGGGAACCTCTTCAGGTGTAAAATCGCTTTTACTATTGCCATTAGATAGACCTTAGTGAGTAGTGAAAAAGTCCATAAGGGTTTCGGTGCATGGCCTTCGATTCTCGAGTTATGAGTGTTTTACTCAATTTTTTGTCTATGAGCATAGCATTTCCGAAAAAACTCAATGAGCGAATTTCGAGCTGAAATTTTGTCCATCCAGAAAATGTCCCTATTTTGAAACGCAGTCCCAAACAGGTATTTCTTTAAAATATGAATAGCTCGGTAAGGATGAGTTCATTTTGGCTCAACCTCTGGGGACTTCCTAGTGACCATAATACCTATTTATGGACAACATTTCAGCTCGAAATTCGACCATTGAGTTTTTTCGAAAATGCCATGCCCATAGACCAAAAATTGAGTAAAACACTCATAACTCAACAAGAGAAGGCCGTGCACCGGAACCCTTATGGACTTTTTCACTACTCGCTAAGACCTATCTAACGGCAATAGTCTCGAGCGAAAAGCGATTTTACACCTGGAGAGGTTTCCTCGTTAGTTATCACTATTATGAAAATCTTACAATTCTGTCAACATCTACTGTATATATCTATAAAGATTTAACATATTTAATGAATATTTTACATAGGAAAATAAGAAAAAGATAAATTCTCTTTAATATAAAATCTAATAGGATTTATTCTCTATTAATATATACATGTATATATTAATAGGAGAAATAATTCAATATGAAATTCAAAAATCGAATTTATTAAATAACTATTGAAAGTTTTGTTTGAAATATCCTAGAAAATTCTTATGTAAATCTAACATTTTAATATCGAGATCGTTTTGAATCGAAGGATAATTAATATTGTCTTTGTAAAGTAGTTAACGAATATCTAAATTCTATTTGGAGATAAAGAAAAATGTTGAAACTGATAAACAATGATAAATATTTTTAAAGTAAACTAGTATAGATTGTTCAATATGATATGTATATATAAAAGATAATTGATGTGTTAAGTTGTTTGAATAAAATAAAAATGTTTATTTATTAAATAGAAATTATTGGAAATAACAAAAAATTTGTTAGAAGAAATAACTAATGTTCGAGAAAAATCATCTGATAAATGTTTATTAATAAATAAAAAAGAATCAATTGGAAAATTGGATGATATTTTAACAATATTATCATCTTATTTAATACGTTTACCAATTGATATTAACTCATTTGAATGGTCATTTACTCTTAAATATTATTCAGATCAACAAACAAAACAAATATCAATTCAAGTATTTTTTTATTTTCAATAAAAACATTACTCTTTTTTTTTGTTTTTTAATTAGTCTTTAGAAAAATCTATAAATTATGGTTATGATTTCGTTGAAAATAAAGAAATGTTTACTCCACGAGAACATGATTTTATTGGAAAAATTTTTCTTTCATTAGGATTACCAGGTGGAACTTTAATTCTTAATCAAAATGTAAATATATATTTTAATTTGTTTGTTTAATTTAATAATATAAATTAATTGAAATAATAATTAATGTTTTTATAATTTAGAGTGATTATTTAATTGAATGTTTATCATCAAATCTTGGTAAAAAATTATTTTCTCTTCAATGTAATTCAATAACAGATGAATGTCAAATAATTAATTATTTTATTGGTCTTTGTCAAGGAAATAATGTTTTATTTAATTCTATAAATAAACTTAATAATAAATGTATTAATTTATATATTAAATTATGTTCAATTCTATATGAAACAATATTAAAAAAAAGTAAATCATTTGAATATATATCACGAACATATACATTATCGGATTATAATCAAATAAATTTATTTTCAACTATTTATCCTCAAACAATTGAAAATTTATCATTATTAAATAGTGATATATTAATTAATAATCGTCTTGTATATTTAACAAGAGCAGATTATAATCATATATTTATATCAAATTTAATTCAATCTGGTTTTCATCATGCTTTTTTTATTGGAAAACGTTTTATTAATCTTATTTATTATATTGTTGATCAATCTTTAACAGAAAATATATCAGATTATGGTTAGAATAAAATAATATTTTAATATTTATTTTAAAAAAAAGAAAAAACAAAAAAAAAGGTTTATATTATATTTTTAGGTATAATTCGATCAAATATTGATTTAAATCCATATTTAATTAAATTATTAATAAAATATTCTAAAATAAATTTATTTAATAATACAATTGAAGAAGAGGAAAAATGTTTATATAATGGTTTATCAATAATATCAAAATGTTTTAAAAAAGAAGATAAAAAATGTCTTGATTCATTAATATTAAAAAAATCTAATATAAATAAAGATTTAAATATTAAATCTTATCCATTAAATAGTTTATCAATAAATAATAGAAATGAAAATGAAACAATATGGAATATATCAGATGCATTTGAATTAGCTTTAAATCAATTTAATTTAAATATAAATGATTTAATATTAAATAAATTATTTCAATTAAATTATTTAACTGAAAATCATTCTAAAATTCTTATTGTTGGAAAAAGTCAATATGGAAAAAGTCTTTTAATAAAAACATTTGTTAAATCAAAATCATTTATTAATTCAAAACAAATTTATCATCATATTATGCTTCAATTATGGTCATCAGAAGATTTATTTATTAAATATGATTATGATAAAAATATATTTCAACAAGGACTTTTATATAATATAACTGAATTAAATAAAGATCATCTTTATCTTCATCTTGATGGATTTAATCAAAATGATCTTTCTTCAATTGAACATTTTATTCTTTATTTAAATCATGGACATATTTTTTGGGAAGTAAGTTTAGATCTTTTGCCTTTTATTTTCTTAAATAAAAAAAAAGAAAAACGACTAAACAATATTTTGTATAATTAGTTAGAAAATTTAAATGAATTAAGTCCATTAATGCTTTCATCATGTGTTATGCTTTATATTGATGAACAAATTTGGACATGGAAAGATCTTATTTTATCAAATTTTTCAAATCAATTAAATAATTATGATATTAATCAAGAATTACAAAAAATTTTAATTGAATATATATCGAAAATAGAATCATATGATATAAAAGATAAATCAACAATAAATATATCATTTATATCAAAAATTTCCATGACAATAACTTTATTAAAAAATTATCTTAAAAATGATAAATGTTCATTTATTGATTTACGTCCATTAGTTGAATTTACTCTTTTATGGTCATTTATAACACATATTCATCTTGATTATAGAAAACAATTTGAAAATTGGTGGAGAAATAATTTTCATCATATACCAAATGATAAATCTGTATTTATCATTAGTTTTCTATGTATTTAAATAAAATTTTATTTATTTATTTAAATAGATAACTGATTGGATGTATGATATTGATTATCATCAATTTGTTCTTTGGTCTGATACAATACCAGCATTTAATCCATTATCACATCAAGGAATTCCAAATAATATATTTGTTCATACAGCATATACAATGGTTTTTATATTTATTTTCATTATATTATATCAATTTAATTCATTATTTTATATATATATATATATATGTTTTGTTTTTTAGGCCTTATCACATTTAGTTAGTTCAATAAGTGAAAATGATCATCCAGTATTATTAATTGGAGAACGAGGAGTTGGAAAAAGTTCTTTAATAAGTGATCGTTTAAAAGCAACATGTGGTGGTGATATAAGTGATGTTTTTTATATAACAATCAATTGCAATTCGTATGTCTTTTATCTTTTTTTAATTAATATTTATTTAAATATAATTCTAAATATGTAGAGAAACAGATAGTTTAGCTGTTTATGAAAAATTAGAAGAACAACTTCAATGGAAACATTCATCTTATTATACAACTAAAGGAAATCGAAAAATGTTTTGTTTTGTTGATGATCTTAATCTTGCTAAGGTTTATTTGTTTTGTTTATTGTTTGATAATAATTATATTTATTAAATTAAAATAGATTGATCGATGTAATAATCAATCATTAGTTGAATTATTACGTCAACATATTGATTCAAATGGTCTTTATTCTCCATTTAATTCATCATGGCAACATATTGATAATATAACTTATGTTGTTACTATTAATTCAAATAAATCATTATACCAATTAAATCGTTTAATTAAACATTTTCATATAATACAAATGGATATGCCTAATCAATCAGATTTAGTATCAATTTTTTCAAAATTAGTTAATAGACATTTTATTGGTGATTTTGGAGAATCTCAATTAATAATTAAAGATTCAAATGATAATCCAACACGTATATCAACAGGTAAATCATCAACAATAACAACAACTGATAGATCGATAACAACAACAACAACAACAACAACAACAGCAACAAATGATAGATCATCAACATCTCCAACAAGAACAATTGGATTAAAAGATAAAATAAATAGTCAAACATATAAACGTCTTGAATATCTTCGTTTAATTATTGAAAGAATAGTTAAAGGAACAGTTGAATTAAATGAAAGAATGAGAACAATGTATAATATAACAAATAAACGTATACATTATGTTTTTTCAATGAAACAATTAACACAAGTATTTCGAAATATTTCAATTAGTTTAACACCTGAATGTTCAATTGATGATTTACTTTATTTATGGCATCATGAATTATATTGGATTTATGGAAAACGTTTAGTTGATCAAATTGATCAACAAAGATATCAACAATTATATCAAACAATTGTTAAAAAATATTTTACTAATATGATTAATGAACAACAAGCTTTAATTATTCAAAATCAACTTTTTTCAAATTTACAACTTACTGAAAGTGGTCTGTCTGTCTTTTTTATTTAGTTTTATTTTCTATAAAAAAAAACAAAAACCATTTAGGTATGGTTGTTGCAAATATAAGTCGAGATTCTCAAAATTATTTAACTGATAATTATAATCTAGTTAATGATTATAATCGAGTTGAAACACTTGTTCGAAATGCAATAATTGAATATAATAAAGAAAAACCAAAACTAACATTTCCACTTTATCCAGTTTGTTTAATATATTATTTTTTTTTTCTAATTGTTTAATATAAAATAATTGAAAATAAATTTTAGTGTTATATTGAATTCTTATGTCGTTTATGTCATCAAATTCAAACAGTTGATGGACATTGTTGTATTATGGCTGAAGGTGTTATTGATCCATCAATAATTGATTTATTTTCATCAATTGTTAATTATCAATTAGTTTCATTTAAAACAAGTCATTTAATTACATCAAATGATCGTCATCAAGAATTTATTAAACAAAAATTAACACAAACATATATTGATGCAGGAATTCGAGTTTGTTATTAGATTAGATTTCTTTTTTATAAATAAAATAAAGAAAATATTTATTTAATTTAGAATGAAAAAATCATATTATTAATAAGAGAAGAAGAATTTGAACATATTGAATTAATAATTCATGTTACTAATTTATTAAATACAGAAGAAATGTCAAGTTTATTTTCATTAGAAGAAGAAACATCAGTTTTAAATTCAGTTCGAACACAAGTTCAACAAGCTGGTCTTTCCTTTTCTCGAGCTGTTGCTTGGGATTTTTTTCTTCGGTATGTTTTACGTTTGTTTGTTTTTTTTTTTATTTATTTTATTCATTATTCACCCTGCACTAAACAACCATTTCAGTATTTTAAGGTATGTTTCATCTGCTTCGTTTTGACACCCTCTTCTTCTTCTTCTTTTGTTTTTTTTTTATTTCTATTTATTTATTTAAAATAAAAAATAATTTTTTGTTTTTTAGAAATGTTAAAGAAAATGTTCGTGTATTAATATTAATGAATGAAATAAATAATAAATTATGTCTTGATCATCCATCAATATTTAATAATATAACATTAATTTATTGGCAACATTGGGATAATCAAACACTTGTACAAAATAGTCTTTATCATTTAAAAGGTTTAAATTTTTTTTTCTTTTCTTTTCTTTTATTTTCATTTATTTTTATTTTATTATTGTTAAATGAAAACAAAAAAAGATGTTCAATGGTTAGATAAAAGTAGTTGTGAAAATACAGCTCATCTTCTTGCTTCAATGCATCTATCAATACGAACTGCAAATGAAAATCATACACAAAAATTACCACATGTTAATAATCATACATTTACAAAATTTGTCGAAAAGTAATTTTAAATAATAATAAACATATTATTTTTTTGTTCTAATAAAAACAAAAAAAAATTTCTATTAAGATTTGTAACAATATTTAATGAAAAATCTTTGAATGTTTATGAAAATCATTGTGATGTTCAACGTCTTCTTGAACAAATTCAATATCAACATGAAACAGCATCGAAATTAGAAAAAGAATTACAACATGAAAAAACAGTACTTGAAGAAAGACTTAAAGTATTTTCTATTTTAAAAAGAGAAATGTGAAAATAATATTTATATTTTTAGAGTACTGAACGTATGTTAGTTCAAATTGGTCAAGATATGGTTATGGCTGAACAACAAATTCGTGCTCATAAATGTCAAACACGACGAACAGTTCAATTAAAAAGATTATTACCTGAATATGAATTAACACAAGAAAAAAATTTATATAAATGTTTAGCTATTGCAACTGATGCAAGAAAATTAATTGAAACACTTGATATGATTTCTTTACAAGAGTTAAGATCAATTACTAAACCTGAACAAACAGTTGAAGATACATTAGCTGCTGTTATTATGATTTGTAAGAGTTTTTTTTTCGAAATATATTTTGTTTTTTATTTTCAATTAAATTAAGTAAAATCTCCAACAGCTGATATAACATGGCAAAAAGGTGCTAAAAGACAAATGGCTAATCTTGATAGATTTATTGAAGAAACTCAATTATTTGATAAAGTTAATTTAACTGAAGAACAAATTAATTTAATTAATGGAGTTATTGATAAAGTACAACTTGATGATAAACAACTTAATCAAGCTTCATATCATAATGCCGTTTTTACTCTTTATAAATGGGTTAAAAGAGTTTTACAGTAAGTTTTTTTAATTTAATTGTAAATAATGAAAGAAAAAATGTTGAAAATAGATATCATACAATATTACTTAAAAGAGTAAAACCATTACACAAAAAATGTCGAGAAATTGAAGAAGATGTTTTAGAACAAGATCAAAAATTAATTTTATTAGATAATAAAAGTCAAGTTAGTTTGATGTTTTAAGTTTTAGAAAATAAATAAAACCTATTGATTTATACTATATTTAGGCATTAGAAGCTCGTTTAAAAGATTTATCACAAAATTTTGAAGAAGCAACAGTTGATAAAAAAGATCAAGAAGAAAAAGTTTCAATAAAAGAAAATCAATTAAAGACTGCATCACAATTAAATGAAGTTTGTTAACAAATTTTATAAATAAATATAAGAAAAGAATTTATTCATTTATTGATTAGATATTATCTCGAGAATTAGAACGAACAAGTAAAATATTTCAATCAACAAGTGAACGTCAATCAACATTAACTGGTACATGTTCAATTGCTGCTGCTTTTTTAATTTATCTTGGTCCATATACACATGGATTTCGTCGTCTTATGTTAACTGTTCATTGGATTAAATCTATACGAGATAGAGGAATGACTATTGTTTTTGATCAAATATCACCTGTTAAAGGAAGAATTATTAATTGGCAATTAGATTCAATTCAAGATAATCAAATTGAAGTAGGACAGTTTCTTTTTTTCAATTTAACAAGAAAAAAAAAATAATATGTTTTTTTCGAAAAAAAAAATTCCTCTAGATAAATGATGAACAAAAATTGTTAAGTGGAAGTGAATATCGTCAAATGTTATTTTCATTAATTGAATTTATATTGGGTGATCAAATGTATCTTGAATGGTTAAGTAAAGGAGTTTTATCATCAGACATGGAAAATCATACAATTATTGTTAAATCAATTGAATATCCTCCACTTATTATTGATCCATTTGGACAAATTGATCAATGGATAAAAGATTATTATAATGTTCAAACAATTTATTTTGATGATGAGTAAGAGATTTTATTTTATCTTATTTGATATTTTACTTTTATTATGAGTATTTAATTAAATAGATCAAATCATGAAATAGTTATGTTAATTGAACAATCATTTTTATCTGGTTCAAAAATATATATTAAAAATTGTAATTCATTGGATAGTCTTGTTTATCCATTAGCACAATGGAAATCTACATCGGAAAAATTCCAGAGTAAAGATGGTATTAAATATCTATTGATATATATTGTACATCTATATATATATATATATATTATTTAGATACAAATTTAATAATTTATTGTGGTCGTCGTTTATTTTGTAATCCATCATTTCGATTTTTTATTCAAACAGATTTTGATTCACTTGATAAAGTACCTCCATCATTATCATTAATGACAACATCAATTAATTGTCAATATAGTGTTGAAACATTGTTAGATGATTTACGACAACAAGTTTTTCAACGTGTTCAACCGAATTATTATCAAAGAAAATTATCAATTTTACATTTAATATTAATTTGTCAACAAAGAATTCAATCAATTGATTCATTTCTTAAATTAAATTCAATCAGGTTTGATTTTACAAAAAAATTATTTTTATTTTATCATTTGACAAATTTTATTTAAAAATCAGAAGAATTTATATTCAGATTTATTTTAATCGAAACCTTTTTTTTTTCTCATAAACAAATTATCTTCATAACATAATTCCTCAATATTTTATAGAAATATATATCATTTCTATGTAAACAATTCTTCTAGCTATTTTTTTTCAAGATCAAACAATTAGATATTTAAATCTTACAATAAGATACGAAATTATGTTAGAGAATTGTTAAAACATAATATCGCTATTTTCTAACATATTATTGTAATACTCAAAAAATTCGACTTGTTTTCGTTGATCACTTACATTGAAATCAGAGATGGCACAATTACAAAACTTTTCGACAGAAAAGTCTCTCCTTAACTCCAAAAAAAAATCCATTTTCTCTGATCTTATAGGAGGTATCCGGAATTGTCATTCTATGAAACCCTCTATAGAGTGCCGAGAAACGCTTCGAGAGCTCTCACAAGCCTACAAAAGCAATTAGAAAGGTTCAAGATCCCGGAAATGCAGCAGATCTTTTCGAGACTTGGAAAACCTCGTCTAAGTTTCCGACAGCTACCTTCAGAACGATTCACTAAATCCTATCTGTCGTCTTATTCTAACCGTTAATTGTATTCTCTTACTCTAATCTCTAAATGTATCCTCTTAATTTGACTTGTTAATCTATATCGAACCTGTTATTGTAACCCCTTATTCTATTGTCGTAATCTAACTAAGTTAATCTATATTTATTTGATTATTCTCGACGCTGAATCTAACTCCTTTATATTGATTTAAGTTTCACATATTGGTGAGCATATATTCATAGTATACTGAGATAAAAATAAACTGCGTCCAGCACGAAATCTCTTGACTACGATACCTTCAGACAGTATATAACGATAGCTTTTCTATTTGGAAAATCTTTAATATTTTTGCACTAAGCCTAATACATTCTCAAATCTTTAAAAGATTCTGTAAATTTGTATGATATTTTAAAAAGATGTAGCAAAGTAGCACAAAATCTTATAAGTACCGAAGCATACCATTTTCTTTTAGTGTACTTGATGTCAGACAAAGATATGAAATCAGTTATAGTCCCAAGAACCGTAACTCTTAAAGTCTCCTACATAGAGAATCTTGAGTTCAAGTATAGTTGTCAAGTCTGTCAAATTGATAGTCTTGAAGTGTATATGACTGTTATTTTCCGAATCATATTGTCCACTGAAGTTTTAAAGTCTGTCAAGGATTGAGACATGATATCAGTTAAAATACTGAATCTGTTGAAAGACCGATACATGAACTAGATGAAACCCCTAAAAAATGTTCTCATTTTTGATATTCACGTCAAATCTTATAAAACTGGCGTTCTACTATCAGTCTTATTGATATAGTCTTCATATATCCCTCTAAAAGATCCGAGTGAAAACGTTATCTTTCACTGTTTGAAAATCATAATCATCAAGTCAGTCTTAGTCATTGAGCCTTGAGGCTTTTTTTAGAAAAAGTCGTAAAATCAGTCTTTTGTCTTAAAGGCTTGACATCTCTCTCAACTAGTATCATGAAGTCAGTTAAAGTTTTTAAGTTTTCTTTTCTTTCAAAGCAATTGCCATGAGTTAAATCGAATCCTATACAGATGAAAACTTTTTGTATATTAAAGTGAAAGTTTTTACGGCAATCTGAGTACGAGTGTCCATATTGTTGTCGAAGGCAAAATCTTGATGTTAAATTGAAGTCTTGGAATCTTTAGTTTCGTTTTTGTTGATAGGTAGCTTTCATGTTGGTTTTTTTTGTGGAATCTTTTACCGAATTTGTGTGGAAACAATATTCTGAGATGTGAGGAAAATACTCAAAATGCTTTCAAGATTTTTTTATGTCTTCAAAGAGACGATTCGTAACTAGATAAAGGCAGAAATTCTTATGACTTGTGCTAATAGATTTGAAGAGAACTAAAAGAAAAGGTATATGACAATCTATAGTTTCTCACTGGGTCTAGAATTTGTTTTTTCTTCAGCCAAGTAACAATCATATTTTATAGAGGTTTCATTTTTTCCAACTATTTTCGAACATGAAGATGTTCACTCCATCGAGATAATGGTATTCAGAAATAAGTTTTTGTATATATGATTTGATTTAGATAGTAAATCTGTTTTTTAAAGCGTTTACATCGATATCAAAGTAATAAATTCTAACGTCTGATACATTTTTCTTTTAGCTTTCTGCAAACACCTATTAGCACAAGTTAAGAGAATCTTTTTTTTCTTGACTATTGTACAGAATATTAGGACGCATATTTTGAAACACTTTTGGATTTGATCATTTACGTTTGTGAAGGTATATCGAGAATAAATTATGTTGCAAATATTTCAAAACACCCGTATATGTTTTAAATTCTCTCACAAATAGAAATTTCTTTATGTTTTTCATCGTTTCTTTCCTATCACTCTATTGTATGAGTCGGTTGGAAGGATCTTCAAACGGCTCAACTTTGTACTATATATCATTGCTATCTGTTGACAACGATAATAATACTTGTACTTTGACGGAACATAAGTGAATGAAGAAAGAGAAAGACGACATTCTTTTAATGATCTGACGATTTAGTGTAGCTCTTCGATTCTGACAGTAAAATTTGTCATAATCTATTTAAATTGTTCGATATCGAAAGATGTAAAAACGAGTCGAAATTCTCCGAGTTCTAATGATTTGATAAAACAATTTTAGATAAGTTGAATAAGGTTTATATAATGCATGTCGAGCAATTTCTATACCTTTAAAATAACGATAGAAACATTAAAATCAAAAAGAAAACATCCAAATTCTATTATTACATTTTCAGAATACTGATTCGACTTCCGAACTTTTTTCTCGGAAACCCAAAAACAAACGATTTTCGATAAAAAATATCGAAAATGTAAAGATTTTCGAGAAAGTTTTTAAATCAAAAGCGATATTTGGAAATAGCACCAGGAGTTCTGAGAATAGGCTTAAAGGTTTTCGGATCCTCGTAAATCTACAAGGTATTTTCGAAATGGCTTCCGGTTTCTGACAAAAAGGTTTTTTTCTAGTGTAGCTTCTTCTATCGTAGATTAGACTAAAATCTACTTAAACATTTGTTTTTCATGCCATCATATTGAAGATTGATGGGTTAAATATAAATATATATTAAGATAAATAATAATCTCTTGAAATTTTTGTTCGTCTCTAATAAGTAATTGTATATGTCTAACAAATATTTTCAACAAAGTAAACAAACTTACTATAGAATTTCTTGTTTTTCCCTTTAGATAAGATAATTGCTTTACGGTGATTCTTTTTGTCCAATAAATCAAATAAAAAAAGTCTTCTTTTTTAAGAGTCAATATTAAATATAATTAGATCTTTTAAAATCTATGCCGTTATAGGGAATGTTGCCGTTCTTTTTCATAGCGTATAAACTTTCTCGAACAACAAATCTACGTTGCAAACAAATAGGTATTATTAATTTTTGGTCTGTGGATGGTATAAAAATATTCGAATTCCACCGTCTTCATTCTTCTTAATCTTAAATTTTCAATGAAATAATTGAGATTATTCTTCAAATAGGAAAGATTCGGTTTATTATTAAGTATAGAGATCTATTATCTATTATATTCAAAGATAAAATAGATTGTAAAATATGATTATTTGATTAAAATTAAATGAAAAGTTCGATTGTTGATCTAATTTAAATTGATAATATGAAAATAAAAACTAAAATAATTTGTTAATGAAAATCAATGTCGTTGTTAAATGTAAATGTTTATTTATAATATATATATGTATATAGTGATGGATTTGAAGGTGAACAAGTTGTTTTAACATCGATTGCATTGGAAAGAAAATATATGTTAGGTGAAGTAATTGAAAAATCATATGAATTATTGGATTCAATTGAAGTTTATGTTGATTATTATTTTCCTTATGCTCAACATGGTGCTTTACTTTATTCAGTTCTTCAAAGAATAAATCTTCTTTCACCAAATAATTATCAATTTTCAATAAATATTATTTATTATTTAATTGATCAATTATTTCCTTTAAATAATCAAACATCTAATGAAGATAAATCGATTTGGAAAGATATTGAAGATCAAAGTATGAATGTTTTTTTTTGTTTTTTATTTTGCTAGAAATGAATATATATATATATATTATTTATCTTATTAAAGAATATCCTCAACTTCCATTATTAATTGAAATAAATGATTTAACAAAAGAAGAATTTACTCCAGTTGATCAAAATCAAATTGATGAAAATATTAAAAAAATGATTCAATCATTTATTAAATTAATTTTACCGTTCGTTTCTAAAAATGTTTTTGTTTTTTTCAAAATAAATAAAATATTTTTTTTTGCTTATTTTAGTCAATTATTCAGTGAAGATCGTTTAGAATTTTTAGTTTTACTTCAATTATTATTAAAAACAGCAGTTGAAAATAGTGATGGAAAAAGTGAAATTCTTCAAATTGAATTATTATCAACTGGTTTACCAAGAATTGAATTTAATTCATTATCATCATATACAACAAAACAAAATAAAAAACCACAATGGATTGAATCTGATATGATTTGGTTTGATATATTATCGTTATCAAATTTATTTAATGAAAATGATTTATTATTTAATTTATCAGAATTTATTTTATCAAATGATCAACAATGGAATAATTGGTATTTAAATCCCCAATTAAATACATTTCCAAATCCAAATGATAAACAATATTCTCAATTAGATAAACTTCTTATTATTCGTTTATTACGACCAGATTATTTAATAAATGCTTTACATGAATATGTTATTGAACAATTTGATTTAAATAATTTACAAATCGATGAATTAGATTTAAAAGGTATTCATATTATTAATTTACCATCAATACCAGTTAAATCAATAAAATCAGGAGAATTTCTTATAAGTAATATTGATTTTGAAAATAATATTGAAAATATTTTGAAAGAAAAAGGAAAAAAAATTCATATAATTGATTGTCAATTAACAAATACATATGATTATACAAATAATGATTATGATATATTATTTTTCAAAAATGTTCACGATAAATCATTTTCACATACTATTAAACAAATTCGTCGTAAGTTATTTTAATTATTAACAAACAAAAAAAAAAAAGCTGTTTTTGTGTTTTTTTATTTTTATTAAGGTCAATGTCAATGTGATATAATATTAACTAAAGAAGCCAATATAAATATAAATTGTGTTGATGCTCATATACATCATTATGATTGTTTAATTGAAGGAAAAGTTAATTTATCAAATATATTATATAGATATTCAAATAATTTAATTCGATTCATAATTGGAGAAATATTATCAAATAGTTCATCTATATTAAATCGTTGTGAAAAAGATGATATTCCAATAATATATGGAACAATATTAATTCAATCAATTCTTGTTTATAATCAATATATATTTAAACAAAGTTCATTTACAATAGAGTGGACAAAAAATTTAATTGAATTTATTTATAATTTAATTCAATATTCAAAAGATAATAAATATCGAAGATATTTAATTGAAATGGCATTTCCAACTAATTCTCCATTATTAAAACAACTTTTAAATGAACTTTTTCAACAAATTCAATCAAAAACTTCAATTGAATTAAATAAATCTCTATTTGAAATTCCTTTTAATGAAAATCAATTTAATCTTCAATGGTTTTTATCAAAACATCAACAAATTAATTTAATATATAATGATTATCCATCGAAATTAAATCTACTTCAACATCAATTTAATATATTTACAGATAAATTAAATAAACTATGGCATGAAAAACCATTAAATATTCATCAACAATTAAATGTTTCTTTAATTCATGATAATATTCATTTATTTAAAGAACGTTTACCTCCATTACTTAAATTACCTTCAAATATTGACTTTAAAGAAGATCTTGTTAACATTGGTCTTTATCAGGTATTTAATAAATCTAATTTATAAATGATTATTATTATTATTTTTTTGTTAAATATAACTAAATAGGAAATAATCTATTTTAATACACAATTGGAATTAATATTAAATGATATAAATGATATCGAAAATATGTTATTCTATGAAAATATATTATTAGAAAAAAATCCAAGACTTAAATCAATTGGATTTGATCTTGAAAGAAATAAAATTCCATTATGCTGGTTATCCGATCAATCATCTGCACCGAAATTTATTTCAATTGTTCAATTTATTCATCGTTTGTTTTTTTTTTAATGAAAAAAAAAGAAAAAAACTAATAATTTTTCTTTAGAATGTCGTCATCGTTTTAATGAATATTATTCTTGGATAAATTGTTTAAATGATGTTGAAAAACTAGATTGTCATTGTATTCATCGTAGTAGAAATTTAATTGAATTAATATGTCTTTCACATGCACTTAAATATAATCTTACACGAGATAATGTGAGTTACTCGCTTGATTTATTTATTTATTTAATATTGCATATATTTGTTAAGATTCGATGTATTGGTCAATGGTCATCATCAAAAACTAATAGTATGTCATCAGATAAAACACGTCATTTAATTTTAAATGGTTTAACTATAATTAATGGAATTGTTGAAGATAATCATCGAATTAAATCAATTAGGTTAGATATTTTCGAATAAATCTTATCCTATATTATTATATTAATTGAATTTATTTAGTGGAATAATAAATAATTGTCCACCAATGGAAATCTATGCAATCGAATCCTCAACTGATATTAATGGATGTCCAGTTTATGCAACAGCATCATCTCGTCTTGATCCACCATTATTTTATTTATTATCAAACGAACAAATTGATTCAATGACTTATATTGTTTTTCAAAATGGTATTTCCTTTATTTTCTTTTTATATTTATCTTTAATAGAACAAAAAAAACAAACAAAATTCTTTTTTTTTTGTTTTTTTAATTAATATATTTATTTAGAAAAAGAAGAAACGATTGAAATTCCATATCCAAATGTTATTCGTCAAGAAATAGAAAATCCACCATCAAATAAATATGAAAATAATCCTGGAAGAGATTCATCTCCAACATCTCAATTATCTCAATCAACTCAAAGAACAAATACTCCTTCACTCAAAGATATTCAACGAGATGAACCGATGTTAGGTTTTTAATAACATTTTCATTATAATTTAAAAATAATAATTATCGATCACACATATATTATCTCATTTTAAACAAAAAATTCTTATGAACTTTTTACTTTTTTTTTTTTCTTTTTGTTCTGAATAAGACTAATAAAATAATATTGATTTTATGTCAATTGATTTTGTCATTTCTTATATCATATTATAGAAACATAAAAATAAATTTTTTTTCAAAGGTAATCATTGATTTTAATATTATGTATTAAAGATATAATATTGATCAACGAGAATATTTATTTTCAATGAATTTTCTTTAAATAATTCGATCAATCGATCACGAACACATCTTATATGTTCATCTTTAGAGAAGCATCCTTTTTTTAATTAAAAATACTCATTTGATACTTTCATCTTAATTGTATGTGTAACTGCATGATGTCAATTTGTTTTCTATTTAACATGGATAATTCATTAAGTAGACAATTGAAAGTCCCACTTTACTCACATTGACATCGAAAATGTATAGACATTGAATTCATTGACAAACATACACGAAATCGATCATCAAACAAAAGTGTAGATGCAATTTGTGTTTGAGAGTAAGATTGATGTGAACATGAGAATAATATAACATTCTTCAATCCAATGTTCGATGTTTATATAAATAATTAAGTTTTTCGAGATGATATTCACAGTTCTCAATCGAGTTAATGTTATTGAGCAAAATATTCAGCATTCAAAAAAAAATTGTCTATATGATTTATATTCTTTCGATTTATTTCGTCATATAGCATTGATGTTTACCATATTCTATGTGTATATATATATATATCATATTAGAATGAAGAGTGTTTCTTTGATAAATGATGTTTCGATTTGTGTTGACTTCTTTCATTGAGAAAAAAAACAATCTGTCATTACATATGAGAGATCGAATGATAACAAACAAAACGATTCCTACATTTATTTGTCAATTTATTCTGTGGACAGACAATCTGTTTCCCTTTATATTGTGTCAACCAATCCATCTTACATATCAGGCTTGTCGATTGTTTTTAGGAGTGGGGGGCTAAAATTTTGGCAGACAATGTTGTTATTTTTCTGACGTGAAAACTGTTGACCGGAGGGAGGGGGAGACGAAACGACACCAATTTTCACTAGGTCGTACCGTACTTCCGCTCAAGCTTCCATACAATCGGTCATTTCTCCCAGCAACCGTCAGAAATTGGCAGACACTATTAAAAATTTTCGCAGACACACAAAAAATTTGGGGGGGGGATACCCCCCCCCCCCCCCCCCTAATCGGAAAGCCTGTTAGATATTAATCTGCTACATAAACAGTACAATGTTGAATTAGAACAATTGATGAAATAGATTATTAGAAAAGCGTTCTACTTTGTTGGACTTATGAAAGAAGAAAACTAAACTAAACATCAGTGATGATCATTTGATAAACTCCAGTATCACATCTGCTATGTTTCAAAGTAGACTTCTAATCGTTAACAGTAAATAGATAGTCCAGTTCGGTGAAGAATTTCTTACCATTCAGTATATTGAATGGTCTAAATTCTTTTACTTTAAAATAATCAATCATAGAAGTATTTTTTTCTCAAGTTAAACAATAGTTATTATTGTTTAAGATTACGTTTCGATGAGAGAATATCTATGAAGTGAAAATTCATCATAACAGAATCTTATAATTGATTCTAATATGGTATTGTTAATAGCATATATATGTTGCAAATCCATAGATGATAACAAACTGAATAGAATGTCAGAAAGAGAATAAATATATGGAAAGAATGTTAACAATGTAATATTAGTGTTTTATTCAATGTGTTATTGATATATGAAAATATGAAAATAAGCTGTTAACATTGAATCGATTGAAAAGAAGCAGAATGATCTATCTCTTTAAGATAGAAACAAGTTCAATCCGTTGTTTATCTTTACTTCTTATTTTCATTCATCGACTTTTTTTTGAAAATAAAATAACTAAAAAATTCTTATGTTTTTGTTAAATCAATTTAAAATGCAAAGTTTGATTTTCAAATAGGTTTACTTTTTATTTATTTAAATCTAAACATTTCTCAAGTGTTGATATTCGAATAATAAGTGTGTTGTTTATACGTATATGTCGATACTCCTCTTCTGACAATGACACATATTAAATATATATTATCGATAATGTATTTTAATTCGATGTTTCGAAATAAAGAATTAAATAAGACTCAGTCGATTATTTTCTTTATAATCATTTTAAATTCAAACAATTTTCTTACTATTAAAGTTATTGATAGAAATTACTGACTACATTAAAGAAGACATTTTTTTTTCTCGAAAGATAATTTTATAAGAACATTTATTTATATGAATATGTTAATCATTGAAAATAAAACATATTTAATTAGTTTGAAAATTAATATCAATTAATATTAATAATAATCTTGATAGAATAGGCCCGTTTTTTATCTTTTTCATCATAAAGAAGATAAATTAATATTTAATTTATATCGATAAACAAAAAAAACATTCGAAGACATATATATATTCAACTGTTATTTGTCGAAAAAAGGAGAACAACACTTTTAATAATAAATTAAAATAATTCTAAGCGAGAAAAAGCTATGAAATAAATGAATATTCATTGAATTAAATATCTATGCATAGAAAGATCAATTTCGGTTAGGTTTTTAATAAATAAATAAACAAAACATAATTGATAATGGATTTATTGTATTATTGGTGAAGAAAGATGTCATCAACGTTTTTTTTTTGCCTTTTATGTCAATAATAGAAAGCAAATGACCTTGCTTGAATAGAAATTAAACTGTCATTTCTTATCATCAAATCGATGTGTCTTTTGTTTAATATTCTATCAATTTATTATTTTCATAAAAAATAAAAAAAAACGAATCGGAGAAGAATAATTCTTTGTTGAGTTAATCAATTGATTTGTAAATTTGTGAACAAGACTAAATTATATTCAATAATCAAATTAATTTCTATAAGGCGTTGTCGAAATGATTAGATAATAGGAAGTCGGATATACGGACAAGACAAGACAAGACAAGACAAGACATCCTATTTGTTCTTCTCTCTCTCTCTCTCTTATATTCTTTAACGTAATTAACAATCATTGCTGTAAAGTTACATAATCAATCGAATAGAAGAAACAGTTGTCAAAACGACTGACTGACTGACTGATTGGAGATGTCGAGCAAATAAAGAACAAAGAAAAAAAAAAAAAAAAAAAAGAAGTCTTTTCTTTCGTATAGAATAATAAAAGATCATTGATCGAACGGTTATTTTCCGATTGTCAAACAAATGAAGCATTTTCCGTTGTTGAGCATCTTCAAACAATTAATCTATTTATTCAATTAAATCATTGATTAATATAATTAGTTTTCCAAATGAGATATTCTTGTTTAGTCAATCTCGTTATTCATTGGAATAAAACACATGTTATATACTACCTGATTTTCCCTAGAAATAAAAGCTTAATCTATATCCTTCGAACATCCTCTATAGATAGGTTTTTTTTTTTTTTTCATAACAACCTTTTATTTTTTTCTCATCAGTTATTCGATGAAGGAAACATCTAAACAGACAGATAGACTGATACTTATTCTCATTAAAAAAGAAAGAAGAAAGCAACTCGTTATGCAGATAATTGTAGATTGATAGAGAAAAAGAAACTGAAGGATAAATTATGAATAAATGTGTTCTTGTTCGATTATCGACAATCAATTTCCTTATCGAGTTAGACATCTAAAATAGTTTATAATCGTTTTATTTTCTCGTCTAATAGATTGATATTATTGACAATGAACAGCAGTTTAAATGTTCGTAGTGATGGTGGTGGTGGTGGTGGTGGTGGAAGTGATGTTCCTCCTCTTGTATTGAGTCTTCCACCGGTTCCTCAATTAGTTATATTAGGTATTATATTCGTAGCTTCAGTTATTCTTAATTGTGTATCAATAATAAGTATTGTTGGTGCTCGAGCAATAACACCAATAAATCTGTTAATTATTAATTTGGCCGTCAGTGACATTGTTTATTCATTGACCATTCCAATATTTGCCGTACATATTGTTATTCCATGGTGGCCATTTGGTCGTGTTGGTTGTCAATTAGCTATTGCTATTGATATTATTGCTATGATTGTAAGTTTTTTTTTGTTTTATAGTATTTATTTTCACTATAGATTTTATTTCGTAGTATCAAGGAGTAAGATCAGTATCTTTGGAATAATGACAAATTGAAAAGATATTTTCTTTTGAATATTTTCAAACTCTTTTTTCATCAATCAAATATAAATATTCCTATTAAAAATAAAAAAGAAACTAGATGAAACATAATTGTAGAAAGAAAGGCAGATAGTTGAATAACAAAAATATTAAATTTGTTAACATTCATTAGAGGAAAAGATTTATATAACTAATCTTAATAAATGAATGATTTAATATAAATAAAATCTAGTTGATAATAATACATAATATATGTTATATGAATAAAGATAATATTATCTGATCATTGTTTAATATATAATAGATAATGATTAATTTTTAATTTGTTAAGATATTTGATAAAGATTAAAACGATATTTCTATTGTTGAATAAAATAATTCAAATTTATTTTAATAATATTCAGTTAATAAACCTAAATAAAATAATAATATTAAAATAAGATTTGTCAATATAGATTTATTAAGATGAAATTTTTAATTAAATTAAATATGAAAAATTTCCTTAACAATAAATAAATCGAATATAAAATATAATCAAATGAATTTTTATATTCCCTACATTTTTAATTATTTATTTTTTTAATATGAATAACTGTCAAATTTCTAATCAATTTCATTAGTTAACTTATTTAAATATTTGTCAATGTGTTACAAATTAAAAGAATAATAATTGTATAGAAATGTTGAGTATTAGTTGATAGATAAATATAAATATGTTTAATTGTTAAATATAATATGTAAATAATGTAGGTTGGTGTTTATACAATAACAGCATTA